TTACCTATATTTTGACCTAATTTATCCAAATATCTGAGACATTAAAAATAATTATTAGTAAAGGTTTTAATCATGAATTTGAGAAAATTGCTTATTAATTTATTCAGATTTAATATTGTGTGCAAAAGTTTCTAGTAGAAAAATTAGTTTTGATCTTTGCATTCAGTCCCTTGTTTTCAGAAAAGGTTACTGAGAATTTTTCTACATACAATTATAATTTTTTTCTTTTTAAAGGAGAGAATTTTCAACCTCAAATTAAATGTGAACTTAAATTAAGAAATTTACCACTTCTTTGAAATATACTTTGTGCTTGTTATATGAGCTAGTACGCACATTTTTAAACAGAGATATGTTGCTTTAATGATTTGACGAATAGTGGACAAACACTTTTGCCTCAAAATCTCTCTCTCTCTCTTAAGTAGATCATTTTTTTAATGGTTTCTGTTACACTCTTTTTACTGGTATAAAATGAGCAAATTCAAACACACTTCTCAGTATAAAGATTAGGTACATAGGATGTTGATGACCACTAACATGAAATGACATCTCTTGTTCAAATGATAGTATGAAGAGTAGGATGTTGATAATATTAATTAGGTCATGTCAGTAAGACAGGCCATGTTAAGATCTGTTATGTTCTTGATGACCCATTTTCTGCTTGAGACCACTCACTATCAGTGTTTTTGAGTCTTTTGAACCACATATTTTGTTCTCATTTATTATTTGTTACAGGATGACACTTATCTTCCCTTTTAGAAATACTCCAAAAATAATGTTAGGACATATCCCCCCCCCCTTTAATGTGGAAGTGGGGTGATTAATTTTGTTTGTAAAATTGACATATCTTATTAGGCTACTACTACTATTTTTCTCTCTACATTTACAGGCTCATATGGGGGGGACTTTGTATTTCTCTAGCATGTTTTAACTAGTTGTTTGGCTCTGAAATAATTTCTAAACTAAAAAAAACAAAGACATTTCAACATGGTAGTAATCATGGTCTAGTTATTTTTATTTATAAAATTGTAAAGGACCTCAGTGTGTGTAATATATATATATATATATATATATATATATATTCTATATCCAATATTCAAGGTGATAATGCTACTAAGATGCAAGGGGCTACTGGGAGTGAAAGAAGACTTTAGAAAAAATTGGAAACTCAATTCTAAGCAGGAAACAAGAGATAAACTTCTTCTGTTCAAAAGATGATGGTGTGAACCATGGATTATATATATATATATATATATATATATGTGTGTGTGTGTGTGTTTTTTGTTTTTTTTTTTTAAATTAAGTAAAAAATGTTTTCTTCTGTGGTTTGTACAAATTCTTTGTTTTTTTTTTATGTGATGCTATTTAGAAAATACATTAAATTTAGTTTCTTTTTGAATTTCCAGGTAATAATTAGCCCAAAGATTTTTAGTTGGAAATTTAAATTTAGTATATTTTCAGGATGCATTTTATTGTATAATTTTAAAAGGTAATGCATGTTGTGAATATATCTTGTGAGTTTAAAAACATTTTTTTTCAATAAATACTGTGTCCTTTCAGTATGTAGGTGATAATATCTCTCTATAGGTACTTTTTTTTATTATTATTGCTGAATTGCCATGGTAATAGTATGACATAGTTTCCCCATTATCTTTATAGTTTTGAATTCAGATTTGTCCTTCTAGATAGGCTACCATCCAAGCCCATTCTAATATTTGACCTATAGCTGGGAGTTCAGAAAATAAAATGGGTTCTTGCTTTTCTAAAGTGAATGCAACAGAATAGACCAGATTTTGAACTTGACCTGCCAATTCCACTTTCTGTACCAATAACCATTAAGTTACCTGATCACCAAACTTGATATATACTGGGTTAATTAAATAAAAATTAACTATAGGGGAAAAAACATCAGATTTACCTAGGAATAATATTGATTTGATAATGCTGTTTTGTATTTATAAAAAATGCTTATAGAGAAGATAGACCAGATTTCTCAACATATTTTGTAATAATTGCTTAATACATTGAAGTATTGGTGTTATTCTAGAAGAATTGTGTTTACTAATGCAAAAGATGTTTGCAATCTTACATGTAAAGCATTAATGTTAGTTCATCACTGATTTATTTATTTTATTGGCAGGGAGGGTAAGGCTTTTGCTTGTCTCTGAAAGTGTAGCTTATTGAATACACAAGAGACTGGCAAATATTATGTAAAATTTGTCCCAACAGCTGTTGCAAAGATGCTATTTATTGAAGTTCACCTAATGTTTTAAACATCATTAAAGAGTATCTACATGGTAGAATCACGTTGAATGACCTCACCCAGAAAAATTGAAGCAGTTATACTATGGTTTTATTTTGAATGTGTTTTTTTTTATCCTTGGGATTGGGAGTTTTTTGTTCATATGTTTTCTTTCTTAATCTGGTTATGTTAGCAAATGTCAGGAATTACTTCATTTCTAATTTTTCAGCTGAATGTTATTGTGTATATCTGAAAAATGGATTGCTTGTTTGATGTGAAGTGAAATCATATGTTGCTTGTTCTTTTACTTTCTCATCTGTTTATTGCAATCTGGGATAAGAGTTGAGATGAAAGAAAAAAGGTAATTCTTGTCAGTTGATATTTTGAGCTAAGTGTAAAAGTATGGTACATATAAAACAATAAGAAAGACAGTATCTTTCCACCAACTTTCAGCAAGGTTTATTTCTCTCTCTCTTTTTTTTTTTTTTTTTATACACCAATTTTCAGAGAACTTAAAATGATTACTTAGCTACTTATTTTAGTACATCATTTTACTTACAATTATTGTCACATGACTCAAACAATAGTCACTTCATTATTTAATGAAATTATCTGTAAATAATCAACAGTGACTTTTTATAGCCATCTGTTATATTATTGCCAACTAAAACTGTTTTTACATTTACATAAGTAGGAAATTAATCGTTCTAAGTAATATGGTTAATTGAAATAAATGCTGTGTAATTTGTGCTTGTTTTTATAATTTGAATTTTGTTTTCAAAAAAGTTAGGAATTGTATTTGTTTTTTATCCTTAAAATCTTTGCCAGCACATTTCCTTATTTCTATAATAAAAGCCAATAAAATATTTTTGCTTGTAGTAAACTCATTCAATTTTTTTGTTTTAAGAGTCTTTTCCTGTGTAAAAAGAAAAAAAGAGGTTTTCAAGACTTCTGTATATGTTGAGCTATCAAAAAGTCTTTTTTTTTTTAACTTCTATTTAAAACTGTATTGTATTTGTTGGGGTGTCTGGTAAAGTTGATTGATTGATAGTGATTATTTGCCACTTAAAAAAAATAAAAAGCCATTTAATTAAAATGTTCTCCTCAAAATATTTTTTATTCTTTTTGTAAATATGTATATTAAAAAATTGTTTTTTCTAGTTAACAATTTCTCCTAGATGAAAGTTCTATATTGATGCCTAAAGTTTCAAAATGATAGCTTCTTAGTATGAAAATGATGATGATCCTTAGTAGGATATGTAAGGAGTCATTTATTTGGAACTTTTGGAATTGAAACTGGTTTGTTTTTAGTGAAAGAATTTAGTATTATTCTCAGCAACTTTTGGACTGGATCATGACCCATTAAGGACAAAACAAAGTTGACTGATAATGAAACAAATATGAATTCATATCTTGTAAACACATTTTCACTCAGTTTTAAATGGTTTAAATTTTACTTTTTGATATTCAATATATTTGTATTTCCTACTTTGTAGATATATCACCAACTTATTTGTAGCAAATTATGACCCTGTGATCAAAACCTATGCTTTATATGCACTTTATAACTGAAAGTTAGTATATATTGACAGATTATTGAATGTGTTCCATCCATATGTGTGTGTGTGTGATAGGAAACATTTATAAATCTAACATGTTTCACTTTTATGTAAGCTTCATGGAGGGGAAAAAGAAAATTCTGTTATTTTTTGTTTTTGTATTTGTTTTTCATTGGTTAAGCAAACCTCATGTGCATCTGATGAAGCTTTTAATAAACGCAAAACATGTTTCCTATTTGTTCCTTATCCTATCATTGTTTTATTCCAATCCATATTTCATCCCAAATCATATATATAAATAAATTCTAATGAAAATGAAATAATTATTAAATGTAAAATTAGAAAAATAATGAATCTAATTGTTAGTGTATCAAATTTTTGCAATATTTGAGGTTTCAAAGTAATTGTATATGATTAACATTTTAACAGAATACAAACTGTTTTTCATCAGATTCATATCTAATGGAATCATTCAGAAAATGATCATCTATTACACTTGGGTGCAAGTTTAATATAAATAATTACTTAGGCACTCATTATCCATCTTTGAAACTGCATTTTTTATCGCAAGAGAAAAAATACATGGAGTTCTGTTGTGTTGCAAAGTGTCATGGAAATAAAGTCAATGTTCTGATAAAACTGAGCTTGTGGACACTATTAAAGAAAACATTCAGATCTTAGCAGTATATATTGCAAGAAAATTTAAGTTTAATAATTCTGTTTAAACTTTTATTAAGTCTAACAAACCTGTTAGACATAATGATTTTTTAATTAGTTTTCTTGTCTTCCTGTCAAATTTGTTGTATTTTAAATCTCATGAAATTAACTAATTCTAGTACTAGATAAAATATCCTAGTTGTTATGTAGACTGTTACTTTAAATAGTAAACTTTCTTCAATAATGACCACTTGTATACGTGGTTCTTAGAACAAAATCAGTGACCAGAAAAATAAAGTTAAAAAAAAAAGAAAAAAAAGAAGAAAAATCCACTGGGTTTCAGGGAGGATAAAGTTGACTTCTAACAAGTTTGAAAGTCATAACTTGAAAAATAAAATCTGAATTGAATTGACTTTAGCATTAGAAACCAGAAATTTTGAGATAAAAATTTAATGAATTTTTAATGGATTTTTTATTTCTAGAAATTTACTTATTATGACTGTTAAATGTTTTCTTATGATGTTTTTATTATTATTTTATTTTAGCACCAACCCGTAAAGATTATAACAGTGAAGATGAAACTGATTTTGTCAAACCAATGTCCAGAATGCATCCTATCCGTCGTAGCTCAAGTGCGACTGCTCGCAAATCTTCAGGACTTGCCAAAGCTGTTACATCAGGTAAGCTAAAAATTTTTCCTTCCTATCAATGCATAGTTATACTTAGTTCAGTATGTCTTAAATAGTATTAGTATCTTTATAATTTTTGTTAGTTTTACTCCACTAAATACTGTTATTATTTTGCTTACCTTTTTACAGGGTTGTTCTTCACATTTCAAGATAACCACTGAATGCTTATTACAAACTATTAACATAATTTTTGAAAATAACTGAATAACATTAATAAAAACTGTGATAAGTAAATTATTCAGATTTAAATGCTCATCTAAAGTTAAAGTTATGAATTTTTGTTTTGAGCAATAATTTTATAATTTCTCTTTGATGACAATATAAGGCAGTTGTAGAATTACTGACAAGAACATGGAACATTTTAATTTTGTTTTAATGAGCTAATAGTCTGAATAATTTGTCATAATTTAATGTACTGTACATAAATGGTTTATTTTTCAGTTTCATAGGTAAGCTAAAAAGCTTGGTAGTCATCATTAAATTAGATTCTGTTACTTTTAATTTCATTGTTTTTAATGAGTTTTTATGCTTATACTAATCAACTTATTTGAAGTTATTCATTAAATACTGAGTCAGCTAAATATTTAAATTAGAATTTTGTTTTACTTTTAGGTTGTGAAAGATGTTTGAAGTTTGATATGAAAAACAATGGTTCAGTATAAATTACTGAAGCTTTTACTTTGAGATACATTTTTCTTTTACAGCTTTCATTTTCCAGTTTCTTCTATAATATGGATATTATTTATTTATTGCTTTTTTTATCCTGAAATGTTTTCAAGGAATTGCTAATGATAAACCTAACATATTTAGTTAAATTGTGTTAAACTTCCACATAATTTTAAGTTTTTTTTTTTACTGCCTAATGTATTTATTTTATTTAGCATGTAAACAAAATATTTTTATATGCACAATAATATATTTAAACTATACCTGTTAAATAAATTTATCCTTACTGATAAAATGTAACCCATTAATTCTATGTTTTATACTCTTGTCTCTCCGAATTAGCTGATAATTCTTAGTTTTTATTTTCTGATATTTTATTGCATTTTAGTTTGATTAACTTATTCAGATGGTAAGCTATTCATGAAAAAAAAATTGGTTCAAATCTTGTAAAAGAAAAAATCAAATAGGGTAATGAAACAAATATAGGTTAGCCATTACTTGAAAGAAGAAAATGCTTACAAGTTTTGTTTAGGTATCTTCACTTGCTTGCTGAAAAACAGCATAGCATGATGAAAAAGCATAATAAAAACAAAGTTTTATTGTCAAAATGTTTGTTATTATTAAGAGGAAAGAATAAAGTATTTTTTATTATTCTATTAAATTTTTTAATCCTTTTTAGCACGTTTGAAATTTTGGTTAAAAATCTTTTTAATGTTAGCCGTTAATTTATGATTAGTGTATTTGTGCCCCCCCACCCATGAAAAACACATTAATTTGGAAATTCTTGCAAAAATCAAATTAAGGTGATAAATGTTATTAAGTGAAAACTATATTTATGAATCAAAAATTGAAAAGCTTGATAAGTCATTTATGCCCAATATTTTTTAAAAAATTAAAGATTTTTTTATGCATATACAATATTACATAACTTGTCCCTGTTTGAAAGTATGGTTGATCATACACAACATTATCAGAAAATAAGAGCAATGACTATAGTAAATTTAAATTCAACATTCCTAAAATTGGATTACAGAGAATATTTTTTAACATTTTTAATACTTAAAAATTATATATATAAAAAAAAAGGTATTTGCCCATCATTTTTTAAAATTGTTTTAACAGATAAAGTCTCTGTAGAACAACAGTAAAGGTGTTGACAGATTTTGTTATCGCTTGTCACGTGATCTACGAATGACAAGCAATGGTGATAAGTGCATAATCACTGCTACTGTTTGTTTTAAAAATCTATTTCTCTGTTATTTTAAACTTAAAGTAAATAATATTTTTTTCAAATCAGATCAATTATACTTTAAATAAGCTAATATTCCTTAAATAAAGTTTCAGAAAAGTATATTTTATTATTGGAAGATTTTTAAAACCGAAAATTAACTTTCATTTACAAATGTGTCAGAGATGGCCAATTTTGTGAAAGTGGCCAAAAAGTTGAGATTCTAATAATTTTTATTTGAAATACATCAGTGTTTTTGCCTACTGGAAATAGTAAATTTAATTATTTAGCTTTCAATTGAAGCTAAAATGAAAGTTTTAAGAATGCTTTTTCATTTTTAAAAATTCATTTTAAACTGTAGGTATCAAAAATTCAGTGTAGGTGCCTAGTTTTGTTTATTCTAAGTATCTTGAGCTTGATGCATGATTCATACAGATATTTTGCAAGAAAATCTGGATATAATTACAAATGATCTTTTTATAACTGTTCATTCTCCTTTTAGTTATGTTGTGTAGATTCATTATTATGCTTATTTATGTCAAGCTCTGTTTATTGTAGACAACACAAGCATTTACAGTTGATCATTTTTATGCAATATTATTACTTTTGCATATGTATTTTTTGAAACCTTTTCACTTTTTATGAGGTTTCTGATTTTATTTAATTATATTCATAGTTTTTAAGGAAAATTTTTCAAGTATATGATGATATTAGTGATACTTAATTTTTCCAAATTTTTCAGATTGAAAGTGTTTTTATACAGTAACTTTTTAAAAGTTACTTTATTAGAAAATGAAAGAAGTTTAAATTTTTATTAAACACTTTTCTGTTTTAAATAGTGGGTTAACTTAAAGAATATCTTTTATACTTTAAAGAAATAATTTGCTTCTAAAATGTCCAGATAGTAATCAGTTAAGTTTAAATAACTTTTGGTAGATCAAAAATTAGATTAGTCAAAATGCAGTGACATTAATGTAAAGATAATTCAGTCAGTATTGAAATTATTAACATCAATCAAATGACACAAATTGACCTTAATGGATTAAGCCAAATGGGTATCTATCAAATTTCACTACTCCTATATGCATAATGGCAATTCATCAAAAGCATTTAAAGTATTTTATATTGAGATTAGATTATCATGAATATAAACTCATTGCTGTAAATATAGTTCCTTAAATTGCAAAGTTTGGTGGTTATTTAACTTTAGTACTATGAGGTATAATTGAGCCATTTATTTTTAATGTCATCCAAAATTTTTGTTTTCTGATAAACTTTTGAAATAATTGCACTTAAAGAAGATTAAAACTGAAATCACCTTCATATATGTTCAAATTTTAAGATTAAAAAAAAAATCTCAACTATGAAGAGTCAGTTCTTTTGTATCAAGTTAATCTGGTGCAGAAATGTTTTGATATAATTAAGCACCTATTACCAAGTCTGATAATAGCTGGTACTTTTAAGTATGATATAAATTTCCAATGTGTTTTTGTATTAATCAGCATTTTGGTTTTTCTGTATTTCTAAATGTTCTTTTGAATTGAGGCTACATGTATTGTTACATTGTTTATGACCAGATTACAAGCAGGTTGCATTTTGCTACATCTGAAGAATACTTATCTGCAAGATACAAAATTCTTTCTCATTGTTCATCCTGCAGGAATCTTTTTCTTCTATTCAAGTGTTGTTCCAGTTACTAATGAAATCTCACAATGACTGACCATTAATATATTTCCCATTCACATTCTCTACATTTCGGCCCACACAACTTTGTTGTCGTAGAAATACAATTGAAAAGTTCTTTTGAAATGATGGATTTTCAGTTTTTTTTCTTCCTTCTAGCACTTGTTTGCTCCCATTTTCAGCAATTGCTAATTGTGTCCATTGGCAATTTTCTTGTGCATAGGTTTTTCTGAACATGCCAATCTCTAATATCAATGTGTTGGTTTGGTCAGGTTGATTTTTTTTTTTTTTCTTTTTTGTTTATTCAGGTGACTTTGAATAGAGGCTTTTCTAACCTGCAAGTTCACTTTAGTTCTCAAAATACTGTCATTTTTTTTTTTTTTTTTGATTATTCTTTCTCATTGCTCTTCACAATAAATTTCCTATAATTCTCCATATAATTCAAACAATTTAGCTATTAATACTGTTATCCATTGTTACTTGTAACCTCTACTAATTTACATTTTAAAAGTAATTTATAACCTAAATCATTTCCTCATTTTAATATTGTGAGTTTTGTACCTTGAGAAGTCTTTATCATCTATACTTGCTAAGCCTGAAACATTGAGAAGTAGCATCTATCTTTTGAACATTGTTTAAAGTATATATTATACTATTTACAAGAGTAATTTATATGCTCATTATTCATAAATGTTACATTTTAGTATGTCCTTTTGATCAATAAATCTTTGATTTGAATCAATTTGAAGGCCTGTTGCAGAAATGAGAATTTATTTCTGGACTAGTAAATATATACTTTACCTTGAGTGTGTTGTCTATATTGATTATAAGTTTAATTAGCTTTCCTATATATTCTTATAATGAAAGATCATACACACAGTAATATTGTAAACTTTGGCCAGCATCACATTTACCTTTAAAAGACAAATTGTATTTAAATCAGATTATTTAGCCTGTTAGAGGATAACAGATTCTATATATAGCTTGCCAGATACATGGATAATAGAGTTCTTGTAATTAGCTTTGGTTATTTTTATATAGTTGCTTGACAGATATGATATATAATTGTTGTGTCGTGGCACAATAGTAAAAATAAGAAAATCAAGTCGAAGTTGGTTTAAAGAACAAGTGTATTTAACATCACAGATACAAAGGTAGGAAACGGGTACTACTCAGCTAGGCAGTTGTAGTACTGTCGCTGCTTACACCTGGTAGGTATTACTGGCACTATATATAGTGAGAACCGGTGTAATTCCCTTGTGTTAGAGGCCGGTGCAACAATAATCATTAAGGTTTTATGGTGTATAGACTGTATTTTTTGAATTCTTCAGATTATTGTTAGACTCCATAAGAATAATACACTTTTGAATATTTTAATTTCAGTGATTCATTAAGCATTTTTTAAGAATAGGAT